TAGTATCTAACAAAGGAGGCATGCTAAACTTCAGAAACATGTTCATCTTTAAGACTTGATTCTCATATCACAGTTCTACACCTCAAACAAATTTCAGAGCAGGCACTTTTTGGGCAGATGGTTGGTAAAACTTCTTTTGAGATGGTACACACTGGAAAATGCAGCATCCTTTGATGGAATTGCATATTGTTCTACAAGCAAAGGTAGTGCAGATATATGAATTGTCCATTGATTTTAAAAACCTGTTGTTTCGTTCTGTTGTAAAGAATTTGGATCCTTGGATGGATTTAATCTTGCTCTTGTTTCCGTGAACATCTATAAGCATCTCCAACACTTACAGTTTGCATTTTGTTACGTAGGAACTCATCTTTGCAGATACTCACAGGCATCTTCTTGTGTTTGTATACCTAAATTTTCCCTTAATTTTACTTTATTTTGGATGTACGTCATCATCACTAAAGCATTTATACTCTACCCAGAATGTTAAGATGATGCTACTTCCCATTAATATGATTAACAGAAAAACTTTACTAATTTTTGTGAAAATCTTTCATTTGTGGCATTACCTTATCACCTTCAAGGATTTTCTTTTCAAAACTAGACATGAATCTATTTTAAGAATTTTGCAAAACGTAACTATTTACCATTCCCAGGCTCTGTATCAAACCTTACTAGGAATCACTACAAAATTTCACAGGCTGTTGTAAATCTTTAGATTACATACTTCACACATCTAACAAAACAAATTCTGGATGTAGTAAGGTTAATGAGCAAGCTAAAAAATTTGCACATTCTCATGGTTAACCCTTTCAACCATGCTTATTTCTGCATTTCATATATTATGTCTATTTTACCCTGTGTTCCTAAATACTTTTTCTGTGATTCAAAGTATTTCCTTTCCAGACTGGCCCTGGTTATCCTCTGCACTATGTTTTCTAATTATATGAGTCAATATAAGCTCCTCTCAGTTCTTCATATCCATTTAAAGAACAGGCAGGTGAAAAATAATTTCCTAAAAGAATAATAGTTCCATGAAACAGATAGTACTTTGCCCCTGAAGATACTGTAAATGGTGTAAAAGTTTCGTCAGTGTTTTGGTAGCAGCATTGCTTTATGAAGGTCTTCTATGTCCAGAAGGAAAAATATGTCCCAGATGCTGTAACTGTTGCTTAGGCTGGCACAGTACATGTACTTAATAGTGCAGTGCAGTACCTATTTATGTAATTAAGACTAAGCATTCAGAAGAAATGTTATATTAAGCCCTTGCCACCAATATGTCTTCCTGGAGAATCTTCATTTTAAAGAAAAAAAAAAAGGGTACTCTACTAGACTATTGTCTTTTCAAATGGCAGAATTCCCCCCTAGCTTCAAAATTGGCCTGTTACCAAGTGCAGGTAAGAAGAAAGGGAAATTAATAAACTGAAAATCCTTTGACTTTTGATTGTGGAAAATAGGTTTACTTGGAGCAGCATATAAAAATTTACTCTTCTAATGTATCGTGATCATGGAGAAGAATACTAACTATTATCAATTGCCCACATATTTCCGAGGATTGGTCCTGTTTGTCTCCATCGAATCCTGGTGTCACTTGTTAATGCAGCGTTGGGAAGGGGAATAGTTATTCGATTCCACCTGAAATACATATAACACAAATGCTAGCATTTTACACTGAGAGTCATTAAGCAACTGTATGTTTTGCAGTTGTGCTGTCATATACTGAAAGCCTTGTGAGAATTTTAAATTCTAAAATCTGCTCAAATGAAGCAGTGAAGTTTCTGCGGCTTCAGAAAATACAAATGAAAAAAAAGAACATTGTCCATGATATTTTCATACAATATATTAATGTTAATTATTACATTATAAAACCCAGCCGTGTTTTTCCCCTGTATGAATGCATGAAGCCAGGAAAAACCTTAACCTGCTTCGCTGCCATGACTTCTCCATCACAATGAAAATCTCCTAAATTGCGTGCTGAATTAAACCTTTCAGTACACGTGAGCTCTGTTTGATGGAAGTCCTTGAGGGTGAGAAGAGGGGCCCAGAGGATTCGGCCTGCTGTGGTCTGGGCCATCATTCTCATATCATCCACAGGGGCTACACTTCCTACACACACTGGGGGTAACGGTTCCCATGAAAGGTACAGGAATGGGGGGGTCACCAGGTCATAACAATGCTTCAAGTACACTTTGTTTTCATAGTCACAGCCACTGCTCTGAGCTGTCTGTGGAAGCTGGGATACAGAAAGATACATGGTCAAGGGATTTGCGCTATGCAACAAGATGTCACAGTTTATTTTATGGTTAGAATAGTACCAAAGAGACTTAATAAAGAGAAAGGTTGATATAAGGAAGTGACACTAACAACCATCCTCACCTTCAGAAGCACAGAGGATGTGCTTCATCGTAACTCTATATTGAGATTTCAAGTGAGTAAAGGTGTCTGAGGATGTAAATATGGCTTTGACTTATGGTTCCTCTGACTAAGAAGAAAATTTTTGTGGATTTGACAAGGTATAACTTTTCTTCTAATTATCAGTATGCTGCCCACAGAGGGTTTTTTTTTGTCATTTATCTTTAGCATCAGGAAAAAAATATTATACCACAGAAGCAGCCCCGTATATTTCAAACTTCATTCCTGGGCAGCCAGGAGACCAGAACATTCCTTCCTTGCTGTCCTCAGCTAGTCAAAAATGAAAGATGACACGGGTTGTGTGTTTTGCTGCTTTCTTCTGCCACCTATAATTCACTTCTCTAATCTTGCATCTGTTAGCTTTGCAGAGAACACTCTCACCCGCTGTAATTTTCAGAGGCGTAGACGGTGCTGTGGGGCAGGTGTGGCCCAGCACATATCTCAGGCAAACACTCGGTATGGAGCAGGGACCAAGAGCGACCATGGTTGGTTGAAAACTCCAAGCTGACACTGACAACACAGTGAAGGAAAGAAAGCAGAAAGACACCATGAGCCTACCTGGCAGAGATATGAAAGTAGAAGTACCGACACTGAGGAACTACCAAATCTGGTATTTCTAATAACTGATGCTAAAACACGAAATAATTTTAGGCAAACATTGAATACAACAAATCCTGAAAATACAAACAAGAAACAAATGTGAGTGTTTAAAAAACAAAAGGGTAGTCTATAGACTGAGGATTATCTAAACACCTAGTCCTTGTTTGGCCACCACCTAGCTAGCATTTCTGTGCTGCTGCTGTTAAACGAGATGATGCTACTCATATTTCAGCTGGAAATGATTTCAAAAATAACGAGGAGAAAACTTGGATTACTCAGAGCTAGATAGAATCACGTGAGCACAGGACACTTTTATAAGTGTCAGCTGCTAACCATTACATCTTCGGAAGGTAGTAAAAGACCACTAGTAATTCATGTACTGGCTGGCTCTTCCATTGCTAATAAATATTAACTTCATTGAACTCCTCGGTTGTCTGCACCCTCCACTCACTGTGCCTAAATGGAGATCATAAAAGCACTATGGAACAGTGAAAATGGCCAGCCCCCGCTGAGGGCTGCAGAAGGTGGAGGGGACCCAGGGAAAGGCACCCTTCAGAGAGCCCCTGTAGCAGACAGGCTTACTCCCACCTTGTAGAGCCTGGAGAGTTCAGTGGTGAATTTTTGTGACTTTTGTGGCATAACCATATGCAAAAACTCCAGATTTGCTTGGAAAAAGGCTGCTGTTCTCTGGTTTCATAGACTAGTAGTAAACCAAACCATTCACATGCAGATAGCGACATTAGAGAACTGGAAATCCTATGGGACCATCCACTGAGTCTATGACTATGAGTTACTAAACCTATTCTCCCAAAAGTTCATTGACCAGTTCAATTTTCAAAAAGGTATTACTGGAATTCTTTCCTTCCCCATTTCACTGCATATTTTAAAAAACCCATTGTTTACAATCTAGGAGTGTGAGGAGGTACTTAGATGTCTTACATTCTGAAGAACTTGAAAAAGTAATATAGAAAGTGCTTGATTTATTACGGATTTAGTATTTTACTGAAAGACTCCTGTAATTTCCTCCATGTAATTAGCTGGTAATATTCTGTTTTATTTTAAGTAATGTTGGCGGAAATTATAAAAATCATAATTCATCAACTCAATACTAAATTATTGGATTATAACTTTTCCTTTTCATTAGAATTTGCTGACAATATTACTTTATTTAAATGTACCATCACTGTGATATTGTGTGTATTAAAACAGTTCATGGAGGTTTTGACTAATTTATTTCAGTTTCAACTGTACAGATACTTTGGAGGGTCATATTTACTGTATATATTCAGTGCGAATTTCTCATATTTGCAGCAATGAAAGTATTATGAATAATGCTGTAGACCAGGAGATGGGAAATGCTGCCATATTTGGGAAACACGAATAAGGATAATGGGGAGCTAGTGCTTCTTTTCTTATGAAGAAGCTCACTTCTGCTTCAGAAATAGGTTACATGAAGGAAGAATATTAGTCTTTCAAGATATATACTAATCTCCATCAGACAACAGACTGAGACAGAGACTTTATATAACACATATTTACAGGCCAGGAGTGTTTACAGGCAAAGTTTTCATTTTCCATGTAGAAAAATCTTGCTGCCTTCTCTTCCTATCAAATATAAATGCAATGACTTGATTTTTGCTGCCCTTTGAATTCTGCTGCCCTGCACGACATGGCTAGGACTGTCAGTGCTAATGCAGCTCTTTCCAGTTGGAAGTGGACACCATGGGACATGGATGTGAAAGCATCTACCGTCTCTTACTTTAAATTCCTGACTCTGGAAAAACATAAAGTAACAATTCTCATAAAATATCGGGATAAACAGTCTCACATGTACATAAGGGAAAAGGGACAGTGGACAGTTTGGTTTTGGGTCCCCTATTTGAAGAAGGATGTTAAGAAACTGAGGAGGTGGAGCAGAGGATGACCAAGATGTCCATGGCCTCAAGCACCAAGCTAAGAGGGGCTGAGGAGCTGGCTTGCTCAGCCTGGTGCGGAGAATGAGCTATGGCAGCCTGTGATGGTGCAGAGGGCACTCACAAGGGAGGCAGAGGCAAACTCTTCTCAGTACTGACAGGCACAGTAGAAAGGACAATGACCATAAAGACATGGCTTCAGAGTTTTGTACTGGACATTAGGAAACACTTTTTCACTTGAGTGGGTCACCCAGAGAGGTAGCACAATATCCATCCATGGAGATTTTCAAGTCATGGACAGGCAAAGCCATGCCTGATCTGAGCTGTGCTGGTAACAATCCCACCTGCAGCAGGTGGTTTCACTAGATGACCTGCAAAGGTTCCTTCCAACCAACATTTCTATGATTCTACAAAACATGGAGCAGCAAATGACTCTCTTCTTTCCCTTTCCCTTTCCCTTAACTCCATCGAAAAAATCATGTTGGATGTCCCGATGAATTGAAGCCAGCAAAAGAGTTCTGTGATCAGTCTACAGACAGTCCTCACACTGAGAGTCAATAAGATGAGGACTACTTATCACCAGTCTTACAAGAATTAGATATGCCTATGGCATCAGTAATCTCTGGGGGGTCAGCAGGGCAGGTTTCTGCAGCTGCCTTTAATACTTTCCCAATTACACAGAGGTAAATCTCACATCCATTAGAAACAGAAGCAAAAGTCACTCCAAAATCGTAAGCATATTTCAGAATAACGGACTAAGAAAAGCAAGTTTTGACCTGGAAAGCTATTTAATCGACTCCTTATTACATGTGAGATATATAAATCTGGGCCTGTGGAGATCAGGAGAAACATTAGCTTTTGAGAAGCTTACATTCGTCACTATTAATTGGCTCCATTCTTTCTGAGAAAATGCTTTCCAAATACTTATATAGATGTTATAAATCAAAATGTACTAGAAAGCTGACAATCAAAAGAGAGCTCTCGCCAGTTGTACCTGTTACCAGGTTGATAAGTTCCACAACCCAAATTGATGGAAAACTGGATCATATGAGTCACTGTGGAAGGGAGCACTGGAAGGATGTGGAAGTAATCCACAGCCCAGACATTCCTGTTGTGGCCTTGGTGACTCTTTTGCTTCAGGCAAAATTTGGTTGCAGGAGTCTGCAGGTCCGGACTAATGACAACAGAAACCAAAGATGGAACCTTTAAAAGAAATTAAATCAGGCTTAAATAAATCAAATAATATCAAAAAAGGTGACAAGTAAAATAGAAAAGCATCTTCAAATCTGCTGAACCAAGCATGTGCTTTTCCCTCTCCTTGCTTCATTTCTGTTAATTTTTTTAGTGATGTTTTTCTACAGAAGATCCCAAACAAAAACGTAATATATTATGTGCATAGCTATTAATACTCTGGATACTAGTGCTGCCTATCATCTCAGAGATCAGATTGTTTGGTTGTAAAGACACCGTAGAAAAGACTCTACTTTCTGTGTTCTGAAAAAAATATTTCGTCAGTGCTCAGTTGGTAATGGAAGATGACATTTGTCTTGGAGCCTTTCAGCTCACAGAAGCAAATGCAGGGTAGTGGCATGTCTAGTATGAATACGTGAGAATGGAGTAACGGCATGAATTCACAGACATATGTAGGGAAGGATGTTATGTTGTTGAAATAAATGAAAGCACTGCTTTGCTAAGCTTAGCCTTTGTCCTAAAGCAACATAATTAGACCTTTATTATGGCAAAAGAGGATGTCAGTTTTAAAACTGCTTGTTTTAGAAAAACCTCCACAATGAATTCAGTGTAATTTCAGATCCTATCTCTCCCCAAGTTCCCCAGTTAATTTTTTATTATTTTACAATTACAATTTCCTTAGTTTTAAAAAAAGTTCTACCCTGTCTTTTACACAGAAGCAGGCAAGGAGGGAAGCCACGCACAATGAAACAATGCAAGTGACTCAACCAAACTAAGGCCAAACCCTACTGTAAACATTTGGTCCCTGAATGCTAGAGTTACAGTGAAAATGCACACAGGCCTGTGCTTGAAATCAGCAGCATCTTTACCACCAAATTTCACACCCTGTATAAGCACACTGCATTTCCATCTCTAGTGCATCCATGTGTATGTGTATTACATATCTATTTTTGCTGTCTTTTCTACAGCAGCAGAATAGGGATACCTCAGGGCTAGCAGACATGGTCTAAGTGCTTCCTTGCCCTAGACAGGAAGGATCCTGACAGCAGGCTCAAGGTCCTTACTGTCCTGCCTGAGGGTGATGGACATGGTTGGAAGAAGGCTGTGCTATTGGCAGAGGAGATGCTGCTGATGGGCACTGCCAGCAACCACCTCCTATGGCTGAGTTCATGCCCGCATCACTGTGGACCCTCTAAGAGGGCACATGACTGTATTTAAAATGGAAAGAAAAAGGGTAAAAGGTGAAGTTCCCTGCACTAGGCGTGGGAAAGACATCCAGGCATTTCTGAATCACTCTCCTCCCAGCCACTGATCCCACCATGACTGACCCTCTCAGGACGTAGCTCCTGAGCATCAAACCATGGATAACAGGAGCTTGAGTGGAGACAGGAGTAATTATTTGTGAGGAGATGTTATCACTAAAGTTTTGAGCTGATAGCTGAAAATTTTTGCCATTTGCCCATTATCTTAGCACTAGCCAACACTGCAGTCCTGCTCGGGGGTGGAGTAATTAGCAATAACTGCAGAGCTGAGCTGCAAATTTACCCTATCACTGCAAGATCTGTGCACTATTTATGTCCTTGGGAAAGTCATGTTTGACTGTCCCTGTGGAATTCAACATACAACATTGTTGTGATGGCTTGAAAATACATTGATCTATCCATCCCATCCACCTACTTTATTTACCTTGTAAGCAGCATAGGTCAAGGTATCGAGAGGTATGTGTTCCCTCCTGCCTTCAATCTTGGCATAAAGTATGACATCATTTTCATGGGATTCTCCAGAATCACAAGTTCCCCCTGTACAACACACATTTGAGGGGAAAAAAAATAACTGAAGCCCTCGAAAGTGGAATCATATTATGCAGCCATAATTATGAAAATAATTACAACCAGATGCTATTTAACTTAGGATATGAAACAAAAGAATACCAGCCCTAAGGACACAGTGTATAAGAACTATTTGATCAGATACACCATGCCAGAGATCAAGAGGATTGACAATTCTGAAAACCTCAAGTACCTCTCTTAATCAGCTTATCAAAACAATGTTAATAGAAAATGCTGTGCCCAAAGCAATACTTTTATCTGTATGCTTTAAATCCTATTTACACAGAAACGTTCTGCTTTTTGAATTCTCATCAGTAAACTGTTATTTAGCACTCACACTCTGTGCAGCCACACACATCATATGTGAGGACCTCTTAAACACTTCTCAGCTGATAGTTTGACAGCGGAGAACTTGTTTTTGATAGGAAATGAGGAAGACTGCTGTGTACCTTGGTTTTTGTGCTGCTTCTTTGGGACATGTTTACACTATAGCCTAAAAGGATGGATGGAGTCTATTGTATCACGCAAAACATGTATGACATGGTTGGCTCACTGGAATGGGGCAGCATTTGGATATATGAAATATATTTATATCAGTAGAACCCAAAACACTTACTAACCTTCTCTGAAAGAGCAGATGTGTTGGCAAACGTGAGCATTAAGCTCTGCATTGTAGTTACAAAATGGACATCATCACACTAATTTGGTGTTCTGGAAAAAAGTTTTTAAAACAAAATATGCGCATTTGAAACGGGAAACATCATTTCCCTGTACACTATGGGTACTGCAGGTATTTAAAAAAAAAAAAAAAACAACAGAAAAAACAGGATAAGGAAACTTCTTTGAAAAGTCTGTAAAGTAGAAAGGCTGCATATATGAAACACTTTCTCTGCTTTTTTTCACTATAGATGGCCAGTTTTGGGAAAAGACTAGGCAAAGTAGTCCAAAGAACTAGATAAGATGTGCAGCTTGTATGTGTATTATACTGTAATAAAGAACATTTATGCGTCTTTTCAAATCCTCTGCTTGCCTGAATGTTTAAACTCTTATTTATGTAATTTACAAGTACGTACAGAATACAGTTTTCAAGTGATATCCCATTGTCCTCTGTGCCTGCATGTGCTGACAACTTCTCCCCTAAGTTCAGAAGGTTAAGCGAATTTCTTTCCTGTTTCTCTTGCAGGTGTTGTAATGCTTGGAAGAACTGGGGAAAAGCATCCTCTTTTTCCTGTGCTTTATTGGTAATTCATGTAACAGAGGAGATGTACAACAAGTGTGTTTTTTCTTGTTGATTCAGAAGGTTGCTTGTGGAGGTCACAAATTTAGACTCTGCTTCCTCCTTTATTATTCTATTATGCTCTACTTTTAAGAAAAATCCTCACCTCCTCTAAACACGGTGTTGAGAGAATAACCTCATGCAATTTCCTCTATGTGCAAAATAAAAGTTTTGGAAAAACACTGTGAAGTACTGAATGATAACCACCATGTTGGCAGGGATTTTGGTCTGTGGCAACACCAAACTAGTGAAGTTACACTGACAGCAACACTGGGGAGGTGAAGTGACAGAACAGGTTTGTTCTTGGCTGCTTTCTTAGCCCTGGTAAATGACTGAGATTGAACTTTTTCCAGGCAGGGAAGGTCCACAGATGATGTTAACGCCACATCAGTGCTTTTCACGAGGGATACCACTTGTAGGCCATACATAGAATCATAGAACAGTTTCATTTGGAAGAGACCTTCAAGATCATCGAGTCCAACCTTTGTAGCACACTATAGCACAGTTTGTGTGAATTTCACCCTGGGCCAATACATTAGCAGAGGAAAACATTTATGAACATGGTAAGTGCTTTTGCGCAGAAATTGTTCTATGGGTTCAACCAGGTAAGGCTGTCCCACCTCTGTGCTACTCCTACCTCATCCTCTGGTGCAACTTTGTTGACTGCTGGATTAACACCAAGGTCTAAAAGGATATGACTTTGGGAAGATATAACAGGTACCTATAAATCCTCTATGGTGTGGTAAGGATGACAAAGATATGTCTGTCTCTTCTAATAATGGAGTAAGGGGCATTGAGTGAAATGAAAAGATACAAGACAAGAGAGTGGGTCTTCACGTGAAGAATTGTTAAATTTTGGAGCTGTGGTAACAACAGGCAGATTCAGTTGATTAAACGCTAGTACCAAGGTTCATTTTAGACACTGTGGAGGAGCCTGCCTCACCTACCTGCTACTCCAGCAGGATGGAGATTCTCCCAGGTCCTGGGTTATATCTGTCAGCCTTGTGCTGATGTCTCAGGTACGCTTGGACATCTCAAGTGGTAACAACAACCTATGCTTTTGTAACAAACCCTGCCTGAGGATTGAACAAGAGTGAATCCACACCTATGTGTGCACCAAGTGCTTAAGATTCCCTTATATCAATGGAGATCCAACCCATGCAGTCAATGGAGCCCATGGAGCTGCTCAGCTGGTCTAGCACAGCTGTCTCACAGTGAGCTGAATGGGTTTTTGCAGAAATGGTACTGACCACATCTCCTCTAATGAAAAAGTAAGTTTAGACACTGATTTTACATGGACACACCTTCATGTAGCTTCTGTATTAAACTGTTTTAACCTGGAGCTAAATGTTTGTATCAGCCAAAAATATGGCTGGATAAATCCATGGAAGAAAATTCCACCAAGGGCTGCTAAAACCAGACTGCCCTGTTCAGGAAGGGTTTCACCTGCAACTCAGTGTTTGGGAGGCCTATTTATGTGGGCACCTGTGTGGGCATCCAGAAGGGTGGACTCTGGTCTGACCATCAGTGGTCAGTCTTACATCCTCATGGGTGTCACAGTCACAAATCTGAGATATCCACTTCTGAGGAGTATTTAAAATAGTTGCATGCACACTGCACAATTTAAATCTCACATGCTTCACATGTTGTATTACATTAGGAATATATACTCACCCATACTGAAAAAAAATCGTAAGTTCCCATAACCTGTACTGTCCATGTATGGAGTGCATATTTTTCTTTCTCCATCTCTGAGAAATACCATAGCTGAGCCAGATTCCAGTGTTCCACATTCGGTACCAATGACAGCTCCAAATATGTCCCACCTGGAGAGGTCAACAATGGACAGAGAATGTGCAGTGGCACGTTATTTATAAACACATACAGAACATGTTCTAGGAGTTCATTTGTACGTACAAAAGTAGCTGCTTCTGCTCATACAGAGGACAGCAAAATGCAGTGTTTCAAATATGATTCCTATGACATTACTTACATATTCAGTACTAGCTTTTATACTCAGTTGACTCAAATACAGCAAAGTTAATGTAAATATTTTAAAGAACTTGGCAGAAAAGCATGAATTACTAAAAAAATGAGGCTTTTAATGAATCCTATTACCAAATATTTAGTGTTGTATTTTTCTATAATCTTAATTATTTTTCTGCCATAAAAATGTTTAAAATATAATTGGATTCTCTTCCATTTCGTACATTATAAGGTTTATAGATCAGTGAAACTTGAAAAGGCACGTGTCCACCATATCTGATATGCAGCCATTAAATACGCAGGTAATAGCTGAAAATGCTCTCTTTTCACCTTTTTAAGCATTTAGGGTAAGAGTTTTTAACTAACACATGAACAGAGTATGAAAAAAGACTGCTGTGTTTCTAATATGTGATATGATCTTTCTCAGTTTTTCTATACATTTTATCTTATTTTTATTCAGTGACAATTAAAAGGACTGCTGCAGAAATTTTCAATTAAATATTTTTTATTGAAAATATATTTTCATCATGAAAACATTGGTTTCTTCAAAACTTGACTAAAATATTTTGAAAGATTAGAAACTGTTGAAAACTTACACATTATTTTGGTCTAATATGTTATTAATGTTGAAGTCTTTACTAATAATAAAGTATTTTAAAATTATTAGGCTGATAAAAAAATGAAATTATTTAGAATCACTAAGACCTCATAATCCAATCATTTATCTAGCCGGCATGGTTCAGGATGCATGAGAAAACACTGAAGTTCAGAAACTTTTGTGGGAAGGCAGAGCCTTTTCCTGTCCTCTTCCAGCAGAAACAATCTCTAACAGCAATGTGCCGTATGACAATTTCAAAAACTGTCCTTTCAAGAACTTAGCAGTCTGTTTGTCAGTTTAACCATTCCAACTATTTCAAAATGTATTTCTAGGATCTTCTAAAAAGCTGCCAGTTTCCCTGTTGACCTAAGCCGTGACAGACCAGCAATGTGCCTGTTTGGAAATCCTGCTTTAAAACTGTCAGTCATTTACACAGGAATTAGTGAGCTTACCATCACTGGAAAGCTTTATGATACAAATATTTTAATGGAAGCACAGTTTAACCTAACCCTAATTCTGTCGTGCAGACTTTTTAAAGGTAATGTGCAGTATAATCAAAATCCAATTTTGAAAATGGGTCTCAGGCTGAAGGCAAGTACAGAATTAAACAGTTGTGCTTACTTTAACTTACACGACAAAATCTCACAATGCCTCATTGATCTTTTGTATGCTCTATTTAGCTCAATTAAAACACTCTCTCAAATGACCCACAAAACAACTCAGGGTCATGAATGATGCAGATCGTGGCTGTTTCCAGGGATCCTCTTCTTTTAGGCAGCATTAGAAATGAAAACCAGAAAGTTCTACATTAAAAAAGCTAGCACTTTAAGAGAAATGCATAAACACACTGTCTGTAAGGACAAACGGAGAAGGAACCTGGGTGATGGCATGACAGAGATGTGGACACTCTTGGTTTAACTTTACATGACTCTTGAAATCCTTCTTTACAAAACAGGTAATAGAATGATATATAGAGCTAAACTAGACCAACTGGACAGGGAGGTCCAAAGCAGTAATGTATCTGCTAGAAGCAGAAGGAGCCTGATGTGGGGATCTGTTAACTTTTAGGATCAGGCCCTAATTTATGCAATTAAAGAGAAGCAGAATGAGAGCGGGAAGAGGCATGGCAGTTACAACAGCAACCCCTACCCATGCAGCCTACTGCTTTAGGTGGGACATGCAAAAAATACCCATCAACTGCTTATTAAAAACAGTGATAAGCTCCTTTGCCCTCATTGTTGAGCTTTTAGATGCCTCACCTCCAAGAACACTTGGTGCAGAGGAAGGTTGTGGTGACCCCTACATGTGAGCTTCTTTTTACTCTCCCTTGTGAGGGAAGCTTTTGCCTTTCCATTGAGAGGTGACAGGCTCCCGCTGATGTTGCAAAGGGGAGCCTGAGAACGTCCTGCAAGCTCTGTCTCAGGTATAAAGTGCTTCTGTGACTATTTGAATACAGTAAAACACAAACATAGTTCAAACAGCATTCAAAAATACTTCTCTAATCATGGATAAAGGAAGCTCATATATGTGTAGTTGTGTACAATTCCCAAAGCGAAGCTTCACAGAAATGTTGCAAAGAGGGACAGTGCTAGGTGATGATTTTATATGACAAGGATGTAGTCCATAACATCACCTGAGTTCATTGTGTATTCATGGCTGCATGCAATTTAAACCTCCATTCTTATAGCAACAATTGAAAGACATTTTTAATATGGAATAGAATTTGAAAAGCCAAAAAATAGAAAGAAATTAAAAAAGTAAAAAGTTGTGAGGCCTTGGGCTGTCCACTTAGTGCCTCAGAAAACAAAATTACCCTCTGCTAGGGTAGGCTGCCACACCACTAAGATTTTACATGCAGGAGGGTGGATCAGGACCTGGTTCCTGGGACTGCACACAGGATGACAGAGCAAAATGCATCTGCTGACTGCACCTTGCCTCGCTCCTAGCTGTCAGTGGTGGCACCTGTGGTTGGAGCTAGACTCTGTGTGACAGGGAAAATGCAATATTCCCTATTTGGAAGAAATTGTGCATTTGCTAGTCAAGGTTGCAACTGGCCCAACTTAGCTTAACTAAACACCTGATCTAGCAGAGATAGGATCTACAGATGGGGCAGATGCCCCCAGGTAGTGTTCCCATCCTGGTTTTTCAAGATGGAAAAGAGACTGAGAGAACATCTCAAACACACCTCACATGGTCACCTGACACACAACACACACGTTCTCATTTTCTTTCCTTTATCTGAAACAGCACCTGCTGTGTCATGGGTTGATTATTTGAACTGGGACAGAGTTCACAGCGAATATTTTTCTGTAAGCCCCAAACAAACCACGTGTCCACAGGACACATTAGCATGTGTTTCTTAAAAGGTGCTCTTTACCTTCAGCACAACATAGGCAGCATCTGAATCAGCTGCTAATGACCTGAAGTACATTGTAGGTTAAAATCAACATTCAGTAGAGACCCATAAATTAACAGTGTATGTTTCTCATTGCCCTGGGGTTACAATAACTAGTGTTTTTTTTTTTTAAACAAAAAAGAATCAAGACCACATTGTTGGCTATTTTCTTTTTGTCACAATTTATACACTGAGGTATATAAAAAGACACTTCTTTACCAGGATACTTTTTTTTTTTTTTTTTAGGCTCACTTATGTTTTGGTAAGAGTAGTAATTTTGCTGCCTTAGATGGTTTGTTTATTTTCTGTGCCCTTGCAGCAGTCCCTGCTGCATCTAGCTTTACAGGCAATCTTTGAATCCAGATGTATATATTTAAAGTAAAACCAGTAAATTATCAGCCCAGCTCTTGCACAGCAGGCATGGCCGTGCTCTCGGTGTTGGAAGGTGAGAGCAGGCTGCTGCTTCAGCTGTCCTCCCTCCACCTCCTCCTCCAGCACTTGCAGGCTTCTGCACAAGCAGGAGCTCTGTCATGGCAAAGCATGGCTCACAGCAGTCGTCCAGAAGGGGATGAATTTCTCAAGGAATTTGATTCCATATGCGTATGAGTTTGTTAGCAACACCCAGGTGTGAATGAAAAAATGATCAACATCATGTGTTTTTTCAGAATGACTACATAATTCAGAAGCATGAAATTTTTCATTAGAAACTTTGGTGACAGGATGGTCTAGAGACAGACTTCCTTCTGGGCTTTCTGGACTTGTTCCTTCCTAAAATCCACAATCATCTGTTATTTACTGTACTGCTATTTATCCTAGTCACAGTCTTCCCTGACTACACAGCAAAGACAAAATGCAATTCTCTGTTCACCCAATTTCCTCATCCCTGGGGTGATGCTGCACGCCTGCTTAGGGCTCTGTGCAGGTGAGGGGCACTCACCCTTTAGGCTGGCTCTCAAACTCTTCTGCCCACTGCTTCTGGGCATCCTCCGTGGAGAGGTCCACATCTCGGGTTGTGGCGAAATTGAACTCACTGCCCTCTGTCCCGTGGAAGTAGATGGAGTTTCCATCCGACTGGCAGCTATGCTGTGGACAAAAGGAGCACATGGGAGGTGACGTTACATCAGGTTTGTAAGGTGTCCTGCTCATGCATCGTCAGAGCTCAGAGCAAGCTGTACGTTATCTAATAACTCATCAATGCCTGAAACAAAATAAAAATAAAAAATGGATGGTCATCTTTTATCTTTCTTGGTCCCCCCGCAACGATGGTTGCACCTCATACCCGCTTCCCTGCAAATGCACTACAGACCGTTGTAAAATGGTGTTTACATAGAAAAGACATGTACCGTATCTTTAGGTGTTTATTTCTGTTTTAAAGTATTCCCATTATGTCTGGCACATACACAACTGTGTGTACAAATAATTTTAGTAGTATATCAAATATTGCTACAGGCATTTGGTTGGTTGGCTCAAGAGTTTCATGCTGTGAAACACGTCGTATCTCCATGCCTGATTTTTTTTCCAGAAGAGGTGTTTGTGTGTAAAATTGCTATGCAGGCCATACAGTAAACTTTGGGCCTGAAGTGTATGAGTGAAAAAGTTATGTTTACTGTATTTAATTTGAATAGCATAACAAATAGTTCTATAGGCAACTAGCTTTTGTGATAAAGCAGTCTCAGGAGTCCTGAGGCTGCCCCTAAACCCATGTCTGCTTTTCCTATTGCATTTCTGTATATACCACCTCAGCAGCATCAAGTGAGGCCACTCGTCTGCCCCAATATGCCCTGACTACCGTGACTTTCCAGGAGTATCGGTGTGGAATAAGCTGTCTGTGAGGAGCATGTTGGGGTTACACTATAGATTTTCTTCTTTCTCCCATCCTACTTTTGCCCTCTTGTGTGTCTGACAAAACGGCAAAAGTCTGCCAAATCTGTGTGGCTGAAACAGATGCTGGGAGCTTCTAAAGATGATCTATCTGGCCTTAATGCAAACTGAGAACTTGGCATTTTATTGAATTGTTCGTATTACAACAAATACTGATAAAAGTAATAATTAGCTCAACTGCTTTTTTGGGGGAAATCTTGGTCTCATTAAAAGTGAAAGCTGAAATAAGAAATGATTAATTAGAATAATTCTGCATTCTTACCACAGTTCAACATCTGAAAAAGAGATACAATAATGCCAAATTGCATTGACCTTTTCAGTACCGTCTATGCAGTGCCCTCTTGTCTCTGAACCCCTTCGTAACGAACGTGCTGAGGGCAAGTATGACAATCACCACTTCTGCATTTAAAAAGGTCATGGTAGTGCCACGTAAGTGAGTAATTAAATATTTAACAAAGAGAAAGATGTGGCAAGAAATGAAAACTGCCCAGCACATCTTTGTCTGTGGGATTTTACGAGCAAAGTACAAAATCACATATTTTGTCAGATTCTAGAGCTCTTCCTTCATTTATTAATGCAAAAAAGAGACATAATTGAAATTCTGTTGTTGATGATTTTTCAAGTATGGTGGCCAATAACTTAGCTATTAATTTATATTTAGGGATGTAATTTGTGACTAAGTTTCTAGAAGTGCCTACACATTGTTAGAAAAAAATCTGAGTACTTGAAGGCTGATTTCTGTATAGAGACTTTCTGGTCTACAGTTGCATGGCAGCGGCTCTATGCTTATTAAGACTGACTAAATATCAGTGAAAGAAATAAACACAGTATAAAAATGTAAAGACTGCTTCAACTGCTAAAATAAACAAGTTGCTGTTAAAGTGGTTTTCTTCCAAAGAAAGGTCAAAGCAATAGAAAGATTCAGAAGTGTTGATGGTTTATCACAGAAATTAAATAGATTTTGTCACAAGTCTCCTTGCTCTGCTAATGCAACATACACACAGTGCACCATATACACAGCTGCTGCCACTAAAATGGCAGAATAATTTACACATAAAATATTTTATAGGTAGCAGAAATTAATGAAACAGCTTTATATTTTACTTTTTTTTGAAGAACACTGCTTGTACTATGCAGTTATTTATAATTGACTGAGAAATGGCTTTTGTTCACTGATTTTATCCTTCATGATCACAGGTATTGTGAACATCAGAATTTTAAGAATAATTTGTTTATTTTGCTTCTTGCTTTTCAGAATTTTCTTCACTTGCTAAACAGAAATTAAGTATCCTTTATCCATCAATCCATCTGCCACAAAACTACTGTTATCTGCAGGCAGTCAAGTAAATACACTAAAAATAAATATTCAAGCTAAAACTTAATTCAAATCTATATGTAACCCTTCATCTCTTAGGAAACAAATAGACAAATGGATCCTACTAAGCTAGTTATTACAATTGTATACAAGCTTTGGAAAATCCTTATTTCTCAGGTGCTAAGTGATATGTAAGTATATACTTGATAGTTGGGTGTGTAATTAGCAATCTCTTGCCTGATGAAAGCCACCTATTAAAAGAAACACAAAACAGAGAGAGCCCCATTATCCTTTAATGATTGTGTGTCTTTCTGCTGTATGTAAGAGTATTCACTGAAGTACATCTGATGGAGTTTCCATTTAGGTTGTCAAGATAAATAAATGGGCATCTTGGCAAAGGGGTGAATTATTTGTACAGTGGTGTATGATCAACCCTTTATGAAAGCCCAAAAGCATAAATTTTTTCATGAGTTCTATAAAACTACCTTCATGCTTTTATAGACATCTACACAGTATCTACAGATATGCATTTAATGCATATTTTATGTGTTAATGAACCACACAATGTATGGCTCAAATCAGCCCCTGCTCATGTTATCTTTGAATCTCACATGAAACAGCTGTGCAGAAGAGAAGTTCAGATGGGGATTTAACTCCTTCTGTTATTCTACACACCTATGAAACCAGTAATAGAAACTCATTACCTTTAAAAAGAGTAAGAGAGATGCTCAAAACACAGGTGTGGGTTTCAAAGAAATTCTGAGGGAGGACCATGATTTTCAGGCACGTTTTTGCCCTAGTGCTACCATTTGGGACCCTGGACACATGCCCATGGGAGAAGCAGATGAGGACAAGCCCCATTTGCATGAGCCGTGTTGCCACAGCAAGGGCCAGGGCAACTCTGCTCATGATCTCATCCTCTCCCACCTGCCACATTTCTCTTGCCTATAATCGTCATCTCAGTCCATACTTAGCTTCCATATTTTTCTTTTCCTTTTCCAAGCAGTCACTATCTGTTGCTGCTTTTACTGCTTTTTTGTCATCCAATGGACTGCTGAGGATGTGAATAACCTCAAAGAGCACTCAGCCAAACTTTCCAGAAGCAAAAGAAGCTCTGCAGGAGATGGTTCCTCACCGGCATCGCCCCTCACTACCTTGTCAGTCTTGTTCAACATCCAGGAGGCTGCTGACTGTGATGGATTATTTTGTGGTTTTGTAATAGGGCTTGAACAGATTAGAAACTGAATTGAAACCATTGGACAAAATGAGTCTTGGGTTCAACCCAGGACTTGAATCCAAGTTTTAGAAATAAAGAACTAAAGCACAATTTACATACTGTGGTGCCTCTTTCACAAATTAAAGGCTTTACACTTGCAGTGGTAGTCTATATACTTACAGTATTTAAGGACTGAGTTTTACAGGTCTTTTGCTTTTTTTGTCATTCTAAAGTGATAAAAAATGTGGAATGAACATGTACTGTTTTTTGAAACTAACTGGGCTAAGTTCTCCCTAAACTGGAGATACTGCAGATGTCCCTATGTAGCTGTAGAGTTCTCGTTTACAAATTCCAGATTAAATGTATTCTCTCTTTCATTTTTATTTACACTTAAATGATTTATAAGATAAGAACAAATTAGCTCATTGTGCAAATTTTGTAACTAAAAAGGCCAAATATCGGCAACTTGTAGGATATTTCTCTTTGTTACGATGGAAGCACCAGCTGCAGGTCCAGAATGAAAGCAGAGTTTAATTTTATTTAAAGGGGATTAAAAGCATGTGGAACATTTAGTGTGTCCTTGCGCAAACTACAATGCTAAAAAATTAACTAATTTGTGAGGAAAAATTAATTTAGAGAATAAATCCTTTGACAAATCTGATAACCTTCATTAAACAGAGTTTTCTCCCAAATCACATGCATAATAGAACATGGGACACTTGCAGGCACTTGAATGGAGCCACTTCACAACAGTAGCTATTTCCCATTGCTTGCAACTGGAGTAGAACTGTCAGTCTGCCATAAGTAAACTGTTGTATTCCTAAATAAACAACCCTTGCCTGTTGCCAAACGGAAAGAAGCCAAGTTCTGTTCAGGAACTGTGGTCATCCCAAGGGGAAAAAAAAACTGTTTAATTTAATCTGGCACTACCAATACTATTATTCACGAGCTGCAATTGTTAAGCTATTGCTTTGCATGAATAGGGCGAAATGAAAATTGGCTGGATACATTCCCGTATCTCAGCATGCTTGGATTTGCATTCAGTCTAATCTTCACTCTGAATTTTCTGCATTTCTAAAGTTTGTCTACTGGATAGTTATAGTATCAGTGCTTTTTATCTAATTTCAAGGCCCTGCATGGCTCATCCTCACCTGCCTCTGCCATCTCCCATATGCACCATCTTGTGGATGACTTTCTGTTGACTGCCAATGTTTGCCACTATGTCTACTGGTGAGATGACCAAACTTGCATGCCCTTGCCTGTTCTGCCCACCACGCTTGGCAAATTCCCCAGAAGATGGTGTCCCTCATGCACTTCATTAGTGCTTTTCTCAATAAGCCTTGTCATTGATTGCACTGAAGAATGTATTTCTTACTAGGATGAGCACTCTCTCTTCTTGCAATATTTCCTTTTACTCCCACGTGTCCCCAGCCCCAGCTACTCTCCTGTTTTATAAATGGATTGCAGTATCCTGGGACACAGGCTATCTTCCTGTTTTGTGCCTGAAGAGTGGTACCAGCACTGATACCGGCAGCAGTACATTCCTTGCTCAGGGCTTTTTGATGCTACAATGGTACCACCACTACAAAAAAATCATAGAATCATAGAACCATGGAATGGTTTGTGTTGGTAGGGACCTCAAAGATCATCTAGTTCCAACCCCCCCGCCAT